GATGATACTTATAAATAATAACAATATTGATAATGGTGGTCATTTGTTAAGTGCTTCCTATGTGCCAGGCACTATGTGAAGTACTTTAACTTGCTTCTTTGGAAAGATCCAAATTAACACTATTGGGGAACTTGTTACAGATTTGCTTAAACAATTAGCAAGCGATGGCTGTGCTTACAAAGAATTAATGATACGTATAACATAAATGTGATTATGATTACTCACTAATTCTTTCTCAGGGTGGGGTAAGCTCTTCCAGCAGGGAAGGTGTCCCTAAGGGTGAGGTCTTCATCCCAATCCCCTGAGCTCTTTCCTTCTGCCCTACTTCTGTTCCAGTATGTTTCTTGCCCCCCGCATGGATCCCCACCTGTTTGCTCTCTAGGCACCCTGACTTCCTCTGCATTGTTTCAGTGCCCAAACATTACAGAACAAGGCTTGCCTGCCTCACTATGAAAACTCAGCTGTTGCTGAACTGAATGTGCAGCAGTCTCTTCAATGCACCTGTGGGCTGCATTCTCCCATGCTGAGCCAGGTTCCTCTCATGGTGACCATGCTCAGGGACAAGTACTAGGCCTCAAAATCCTGTAATAAACAACCCAGCTGCCTGGCTACAACCCAGGGTCTCTCAGGGATCCTGCCCATTGTTGCCCTGACTGTGCTAAACTGTTGCCCACTTACACTTCATGGACATTGCTGGTCTTACATGAATATATGTGCTAACAGACTCTCACTGTCTACCTCGAGCATGCATTTCCCAGCCCGCTGTTGTCCAGTGAAGTGTTCATTATTTTGACCCTAGTCAGGACCTGGAGGAAATAGTCTATAGGATAGGAAGTGTTTCCTCTCTCAACAATAGACATGCTTTCTGTAACGTCTGTTCTAGTTTCTCTTCGAACGTTTCCTATTTATCTCTCTGACTGATGGAATGTGAATTCATACATTGAAGGCCATATGCTTTCTAACTCCAGAGCACTTTTAAAATCCCTTAATTTATATTTATTCCTCCATGTGTGGGTGTCTCTCTCTCTCTTTCCCCTTCCCCTCCCTCCCCTCTCTCTCTCACCCCACATCCCATCCCATTTCTCTCTTTTTTTCTCTCTCTCTCTGATTCTAAACCAAGGAGAATATCTGGTCTCAAATCTAACAGCACCATATTTACTACTTGACGTTAGACAAATCAACTCATTGTTTTCAATAGCTGTAACATGAAATCTAAGCACTTAACTTGCCAGATCCCTAAGTTGTTTTGGTGAGGCTGAAATGAGGAAGTAAATTTATTCATCTGGTAAGTATTTATTCAGCCTTTAATGTGTATCAGGCACTATACCAGGTTCTGGGATACATTTATGAAGAGAACAAAGGAACTTTCTTACCTATGGCAGTGACATTTTGGTTGGGAAGACATATATTAGGTGAGGAAACAAACAAAATAAGTTTTGCAGGTTGTGGTGGGTGCTTTGCGGGAAGTGAGCATGATGCGGTGACTGAGAGTGACAGGGACAGCGATACTCAAGATAAGGCTGCCAGGAAAAGCCTCTTCAGGGAATCGATATTGACAGTGTGACACTCGCAGTCTGTTTGAGAGAAAACCTACCGTTTACTGAACTGCAAACACACCTTGTAAGTGGTAAGATGTCACGTCAGTGAAGAGTAGTCCCCTCTAATCCTTTGTGCAAGAGGAAAAATTACGAAACAGTAAGTTTTCCCAATTTGTGATGCTGTAACTTCGTAATAATCACTATACTTTCTTGTGAGCTCCTTTTTTTTTTAAATCTAAATCTTTTACTACTTTCTCCTCTTCTGTTTTTTGTTTCTTTGTTTGCTTGCTTGCTTGCTTGCTTGTTTTTGAGACAGACTTTCGCTCCTGTTGCCAGGCTGGAGTGCAGTGGCATGATCGCAGCTCACTGCAACCTTTGCCTCCCAGGTTCAGGCGATTCTCCTGCCTCCACCACCATGCCCAGCTAATTTTTGTATTTTTAGTGGAGATAGGGTTTCACCATGTTGGTCAGGCTGATCTCCAACTCTCAACCTTAGGTGATCCACCTGCCTCAGCCTCCCAAAGTGCTGGGATTACAGGTGTGAGCCACCATGCCTGGCCTCTCTTCTGTTTTTGATTTGTACTGGCCTCATCTTGTCATCTGGCCCCTATCTATGGTACTGTTTTCCTTCTGCCTGCTCTCAAACTTCCCTGCCACTGTTCATACCCTTCCTTCCTGCTGCTTGACCTGCTGCATGCCATAAACCCATGAAATTTGTTTCCATTTCTAAGACTTGAACCCTATACTTCTAAAACCTTCCCTAAGGTTTCCTAAGCTGCTCGTTTTTCTGCTAACCTACCTACCCTTCAGAATATAGGGAATTTCTGCTACTTACCTCCTGAAGACAGGAGTATTTCCAAATTGATCTGACTAGAATTGGCTGGCATAGTGCCTGGCACATAGTAAACCCTCAATAAGTATTTATCGACTTTTAATGAATAAGTGAACTGATTTTGCTGATCTCATGCAGTCTGTCTACAGGGTTAAAGTGTTTTTTCCTCTATAATTTTACATCTGTTTTCCCCTCACATGTAAAATGCATATAAAAGCCTTCACCTTCAGCTCTATAGGATAGTAAAATCTGATCTCTTCTTCAGAGGATTTAAAAAAATCGTAATCTACTTTCTCTGTTTGTCATACATGTAAAACTTTGTCATTGATCCCAGAAACACCTAGAGGCATTGACAGTGTCTCTGAGATTCTTTGTACATTGTCCAACATAGTGCATAATGACAAGCCTCGGAATTTAGTATGTAAATGGATTTTTGTTAATGATAATAACCATCACTGAAATTTCAGCTGTTTTGGTTTCTGTTTTCAGCCTCTTGAATTATCAAATGTCTTATTCATATTAAGTAGAAACGTCTAAGGGGAAAATCTTTGTATTAAGGAAGTTGTCATGTTTTCAGAGTTAAGTAGCAACTAAATGCAATGTTTCTTTTGAAGAGGATTTTCAAATATATCCAGAGTTTGGTTTTAGACACTCTGTGTGATATTATTGATCAGCAATAGCAACAATAACTTAGCTACAAACAACTTTCAGAGACTTTTCAACAGCAAATAGAATACTCACTTTTTATCAGTATAAAGTTGTGTTTAGAATCATCACTGCCAACTCGTTTCAAGAACTTAAGTGTTAAGTATTCCCTTAAATCTATATCTTTTTGTGTTATGTCAGTTAGTAATAACTTGTAAATGATCCTTCAGTTTTGAACATTCTCTGTTTATAGTTCTAAAATACTTAAATAATACCAAAAATTGATGAAGAATCCCTTTGGGTTTTTGTTGTTTAGATTATATTCTTTAATTCAAGAAAACCCACATAATTTACACTGGATTTTTATTTAGACTTATACAAAGACCTGACCTATGTGATCAGGAACAACTTCAAAATTTCAGTATTTATGATTTATATTTGTTGCCCCGTGGGATGTATTAGGTTGGTATAAAAGTAATAGCGGTTTTTGCCATTACTTTTAATAACTCTAAAAAAAACTCTAAAGCAGTGGGGCAGACTTTCAAATAAATATACTAATAATTACATGTCTGGGAGGCCCCTGTCTCCTTCAAAGCAGTCACCTAGGAAGGCTACACATTTGTTCCAGTAATGTTGCTATGGCTTAAAAATGTTGTGGAATGCCTCTGAAATGCTAAGAAGTAAAGGTAAAATGACATTATTTTAAATAACCTGAATTGTGGCAGAGGTGAATTGAATTTTGTTGAGTAGTCAAATCATCCCAGGAACAAGTATAGTAAATAAAATCTGGAGTGTTGCTTGGAGGCATAGTTGGATGTAAAATAACAAGATGGGCTTTCCTAATAATGCATAAACTAACTCTTAAAATTGTCAAAGAGGAATTCCAGAACTTTGGACCTTGGAATAAATGTATAAGCTCCCAAGGTAGCTACTGTGAAGAACAGTACTTGTCTAGGTAGGGAAAAAAATATGTGTATGTTTGCAAAATAAGATCAGTTTTATTACTTTATAGACAAACCTTGTAGATGAAAAAAATACTCCTATCATGGAACTCTTTATAATCAAACTTCCGAATTTAAGTAAGTAGAATTTCTGCCTCATCCTTTCTAAGCCTATTGAGAAATCTGGATTTCTAATAATGACTTATTACCTTAAAAAAGTAATGTTTACTGTTTTAAAAGTAGATGCTTTGCAGTTTCTCTTAACCTTTTTTGATTAGCTTTGTTACTCTATTCAATTTTTATTTCAGTGTATCCATCTTTATTCACTCTGAGATTCTCAAAATGTGTTTTCTCATTGTAAAATTATCAAACTGTTGAACTAAGTTAGAAAATAATATCTAAGCCGAAGGCTATTAATTGTTCTATATTGTTTCAAGCTCTTTTTTGTTGACATTAGTAATGATCAAATGCCTTTCTTTTCAAAGTGAGACCCTATTATCTAAGAGAGAAGTCTCAAATTAAAGATTTTATAAAAACAAATAGCCCTCAATTTTGGAGTTTCTATTATATTTTTATGTTTATTAATAAAAGCTTTAAAAATAGAGTTCAGCCAAACTGCTGGATATTGTTTCTCTAATGTAGAGACTTCCAGGTGGACTCATCAGCCAAGCATGGGGGGTGGAGCTGATGTGTCTTGCTTGATTGGGGCTTTTCCAAATTCATTTTGCCACATCAGTCTTCATCCAAGTCATCCAGGCCCCTGTTTCTTCATTGCTGAGTTGAAATAATAAAAGGTAAAATGGAGCATGGAAAGCAGAGAAAATTGTTATCCTTCTGCAAAGCGGCTAAGACAGCTAAATTGTGACATAATTTGAACTGTTCAAATTTGACAAGTTTGATTGGAAAATTATGTGACCCATGTAATTAGAGATCAAAATGGCCACTAGTTTGCAGTTTTAAAGAGTCATAGATTGGTGTTTTTACCACAGACTGATATTATTCTGCCCCATATTAACTATTGCACAAATGACTATTGTTTTGCAGTTTGGTGATTTAAATGCCGTGTCTCCTGGAAATCTGGATAAAGGTAAGAATTGAAAATAATGTACATTTTAAGAACTTTTTTTCACTAACAAATTCTCATAGAGGAAAATACAGTGTATGTTTCCAATACTCTGATTTTGCAGAAGTGGCATACAAATCCTAGATAAATGTGAAACTCCTGTCTTCATTATTTCTCCATTTTTCCCCATCGCTATGCCTTCTACATATGAGGTATTTTAATTGCAGATAATTGAATTTAAATGTAGTTATAAAGTTCTTTACACTTTTTGCCTGAAGTTCATTACAAGTAACAAGAAATTATTTCTGACCATGGCTAGAGTCCTGGAGATAAGTGATAAAATTGGATGAGACATTTTTATTCAAGGCCCACCAGGCAAGAAAAAAGATTCCTCGGCTCACCTACCTCACCAATTCATACTTTTGTGTAGAAAAAGAACTCAGAGATAGCAGTGAGGTTTACTGTAAATGCAAGATTAGTAATGGTATAGATGAAGAAGGTAACATATATACTTCTGAAATTTTAATAGCATTGCCACTCTAATATACAGTATAATATGATAACATGATATATATTTCTGAAGAACCTCAGGATCAACAAAATCACACCTAAAAAGGTGGACTTAGGGGGAGATAGAATGGGGATAGAGCACACAAATCTTACCCACCTTTATAAGCAGAGCACAAGCAAAACAATACTGATAAAAATACCAGTGCAATTTTTAAAAACAAGTAAATTTTCTGTTAAACACTGCAGGAAACAGAGCTCTTTCTTTTAAAAGGTGGTGGAGGGAGGGAGGTATCTTGAGGTTTTAAAGAATTTTTATGGTTATTGACTATTGGAGACAGGTACAAAATGCACAGAAACTGGGGAGAACTATGCACTTAGCCCTTCCAGGCCAGAGTCACTGGGGAAAATGAGGTGAAAGGAAGTACGTAGGGAGTCTGTAAAGAGGTTCAGCGCTGTTCTCCAGAGCGTGCTATATTAAGGTACTCAGTACAGTAGCAATGCAGGGAAATTAGAAAATTATAGCCAAAAAATTTGTTACTACAAATATATACTCTATAGGATTAACCAAATAACCCTCAGAAAAATAAGTCAATGATGATATTAATTAGTAATTTTAGAGCAAGAAACGTGGTAACTGATACCCATGTCCATTATAAAGCAACACTGATGATGTACTCACACCAAAGCCTCATAACCCAAATTTAGGGGTTTCATCCCAGGGTGTCCAGAAGGGCAGTAGAGATTTACTACTCAGTCAGAGACTGCATTCCAGCCAGCCTTCTTCACACAGTGCTGAACGACAATCTTCTGTAAACTCCTGTAGCACCTAATTTTAGTTTTTATGTACCAAATTTCCATAACCTGACGTAGATTCCTAGGAAATGTCTTCAAGTTTTTATAGAAGCATAAAATGTCTACAGAATTACATCCCTTTGTCCTTAGGACCTGGAGAACAGGCTTGCTTTTATAAGTTGCTTTGTAGATTTTCCAAAGGAAACCTGTCACCCAGAGATAGACGTAAGCAAAACCTACCTGGAACACTTAAGTTTGTCCAGTCCGTTATCTCACTACCCTTTCCATCCACAACAAAATAGATAGAAGGACTTTCCTCACTTTGTCTCCACTGCCCTCCCTGCCTGAAAATTAGTTTTTGTCTTTTCAGTGCTCCCTTTTTTATTATTTTGACACTAATTTCTTAGGCACAGGGAAGTCTGTGGACAGGGAGCAGAGAAGCAGTGTGACTTGTCCTCACCTGCTGGAGGTGGCCACGCTGGTCCCATTTACCCCCAGACCTCTTGATGGCTCTTGAGATAGAGCCCGATGGGCATACTCAGGGCCTAAAGATTTAATGTGAAATCCTAGGAGTTTTTGAGGGCTTCTCCCACAAAATGAGAATTCTTGTTCTGATAATAAAAGAGATATTTGCTCCATATAAAAATTTCAAATAATACAGAGAATTAGAAACTATAGAAAGTGAAGCTTTATTATCACAACCCTAAGAGACTACCACCACGAAGAGTTTGTGTTAAGATCCTTACAGACATTTTTGTTTTATGTATAAAAACATGAAAAACCGAAACATTTCATGCAAACATGTTTCAAGTATACCCTCTTGATGAAGCAAATGTCTACAAAAGGTATCCCTCTCCCTGTAGCCCTTCAACACTTTGAATATACTTGTTCTGACACACTCAAATATTATCATTAAGTTCATTTTCCAGAGGCAAAAAGGTAACTTGATAAAGTAGGTGGGCCAAGATATCTTTTGCCTCATCTAAGAGCACTTCTTTGTTTTATTGGTCACTAATGCATGACACACATTTCTAGGTAATGCATATTAATCTCCACCTATTTAATCACAAATTACCATTTCTCAGACCTTGCTCCTGGTGGCTGTACACTGTACAACCATATATGGAAGCACTTTTACATCTCACTGCTTTTTTCTAGAACCAGCTTTACCCCAATCATAATGAAATAAGAAAAGTCAAGGGGCCTTGTTTATAGAGACAGCTGCATTAGCAGAGATTTTTGCTGTGGGTGTCTGCCAAGTGGTAAAGCTACAATTTTACTGCTAGCAAAGAATCCAACTTAATCTGACTAAAGAGATACTTGTTGCACATTCATTGTATGTGATATGCCATAGAACAGTAGAGAATGGAGACCTGACTTTGTTTATACAAGCCACTGTAATTATCCCTCATGAAGAGGTATTCGGAGGAGACTGTCACCCAATAGTAAAGCCGTATATGTGCATTTTCTGTCTCTAATGTACTTTTGAATTTTAACAGTGCATACTGGAAAAAAATTAAATGGCATTCTATTATAATGATGCCTTAGTTAATATAAAATGTATTACAATTTGGGGGTAACCGTGATTATATAATGCATTTGATTTCCAGAAATGAATACCAGCTATTAACAGTATCAGCTGCCAAGAATGGAAATCCATTGCACATTTTTAATCTGATACTACTGCCTCAGCCTTAATAATTTTTATAATAAAAATTAAGGGTTTATTTAATACTGTGACCATCTATAACATTGATGAATGCCAAAAAGTCTTACAGCAGCCTCTGTTTATACATGGAATAGTAATATTAAGAATCAACATAGTTCTGACTCACATTAACGCTAGCACAGATAAAATGTGTATTTAGTGTAGATTTTTGGAGGAAACAAAACTTTTTTTGTATTTGCGTTTTCAGCTCAGTACATTCCTCAAAAGTCAGCATAACATACCAAAGTGACTACTTTATTATGACACAAATTATGCCATTATTTAATATAGACACTTATGGAAATTCCAAAGGCTTTTTTAAAAAAGTTAATGAAGTATCAATCACAAATTGCCAAAAGTAAATTAATCTCGCTTTGTTTGAAAGAATTATAGATGCATCAATACAGCATTGATATGAATACATTCCGATGAAAAGAAAACCTATAAGCTTTGTTTCCTGAGAAGAGCTAAGATGTTGCTTTCTTAATGTACTATATTAAAGTGTTTCTAAAGCACGTGTTGATTGCTATTTTCTAATTTGTTTTCTGATAATAGTCTTGGTTTTATTTGTGCAGATGAAGGCAGTGAAGTGGAAAGTGAAATGGATGAAGAACTGGATGACTCTTCAGAGCCTCAAGCCAAAAGAGAGAAAACAGAGCTGAGCCAGGCATTTCCAGTGGGCTGCATGCAGCCTGTTCTCGAGACTGGCGTGCAACCAAGCCTCCTGAATCCAATTCACAGCGAGCACATTGTCACAAGTACTCAGACTATCAGACAGTGCAGCGCTACAGGAAATACCTACACTGCAGTCTAAAGAATATTAAAGCGTATTTCTCCAGCTTACATTAACCCTGTTGATATTGGGCTTAAGTTGAAAATTTAATAAGCCTGAAGGTCGACTGTTGTCAAATTCTATCTGTGCTGAACATTAACTTTTTGGAGTTGTGAAATGGAATGGGTGTATGTATTTTGCCAGATTTTTTTTTTTAACGTAAACAAATTATTTGCCTCTTAATAATGAATTTTTTCCCTTAGTTTCAGGTGTCAAGAAGGATTTTTACAACACTTAATGTCAATGTTTTGTTTTCTTATAATTAAAAAGTAATTTACATTTTTTTGTAGCTTAAAATATTTTCTTGTTGATTGTTAGTCTTGGTGTATGATTTCATGTGTAAGTTTTTAAATTAGATGCACTTCTGTGAAATATCAAAAGAAATGATTGTTTTGATTGACACTGGAGGCATGCCCATTTGGCAGCAGATGCATCAAATTTGCTTTTGAAAGGTGCTTTTCATTGGACAGAACCATAAGACACTATTTTGATAACATTTTGAGTACGGAGAGAGAATACAGAGCATTTTTATTATAGTGCTAGAGGGTTTGGAAGGTCATCTATTTTTCGCTGAGGAAAAATTGAGCTGTGCATTTATCAGTTCAGAGTAAATGACAGAATTGCAAGAGATTATGCTAATAGGTACATAGTTTGTGTACATAATTATTAAAACATGTTAACAATGCAAGCTTCCGTTAAACATTGAATTTTAACTATTATTTGCATACCAATTCCTCTGTTTAAAGACTACTGATTCTGTATTTGGGACCACTGCACAGATGCATTCTGCTGTTAAGTGGGGGCTGTTATAGTTAGATACTGAAGCAGGAAAAAATGACTTGACTTTTTTTTTTAAGTGTACATGCTACTTATGCTGAGCTGGACATACAGGAAACCATTCCATTTGGATGACTTTCTTTTATTCCAGGTCTTTTTCCTAATAGTAGTTCAATATGCTGCTATTATAAACGAGAATTTATAGAATGCACGGAATGTAGCAACCTACATAATGTTATTTCCTTCAAAACTATTTCCTGGTTTCTAAAGTATGTGGATTTAAATTGTAAACAGAACCTGAAGGCAGTGTAACTGGCACACCTCACTGTTACTTATCCCCAATTCTGTAGGATTTGGATAGGTGGCTGGATGGACCATTGCCATTGAAGAATGTACATCAGGGATCATCGTACCTCGGCTATTACATGGTGCCTTAAAACAGAACTGAAGCTAAGGTTTAGTAAGGTTTATTTTGTTCATGTGACTAACTCTTCAATCCATTTGACAAAGTGTGCCTGTCATTTTCAGATTCCCGAAGTAAGGACAGGTGACATGTTCTTCAAAGGAAATTTAGGGAAAACAAAGAAAAACAAAAAGACAAAAATCAGTTTCCCTCTTTGAGTGACCGTGGATCTATTTTTTATTCTTAGAGCTGAATATTACTTGATTACAAATCAGATTGCTTAAGGGTGTGGAATAGCAGGCTAGTTTTAATACCAACTTGTTACATAAAATCATATATGTTTTAGACCATTCTTATTTAGTTACAATTTTAGAAAGTTAACAAAGTAAGCAGGTACTTATCGAAGTGCATCTTTTCAGTCTAAATGTTTGTCTGTGTGTCTAGGTGCTGGTGTGTCCACATGCACACATGAGTGCCCATGGGGCAGGAGTCTGCTACAAAGTCAGAAGGTGAGATCCTAGAGAGTTATACCCAGCCCCATTTTAATTTGCATGAAAAGCCTAGGTTCTTTTAAGCGCTCAAATTATTTAATGATTAAAACACAAAAAAGACACATCTGTTCATTTAAATAGTTGTAAAAAACTAATCAGCAAAAATAAATAGATAATAAAGCCAAAAAAAAGGAAAGCACAAAATGATTGACAGATTATCAAATGAGGCCTATATTAAAACCAAGATGTTTATCTTTCCAGTGGTATTGGGGTAAGGGGGGTGGGGGGTTGGAAAGAAGAGGTGAGCCAGTCTGTAAAGTTAGAAATACCAAATGGCTTATCAGGTAATACACAGTGTATTTAAGCTGCTGTTGCTTGATTGCCTCAGACTACTCAAATAACATCAACGACATTTCTTAAGTAAAATTTAAATATTTTAGATATAATTTTAAAAACTGATCCAAATTTTTTATTTTACAACTCATATATTTGAAAGTCTTCACTAGCATGGTAGCATCACCTTCATCTAAATATCATTTAAATTACTGTCCCCCTTTTTCCTCCCAAAAAGACAATGGATTTGTACCAAAACACACACACAAAAGGCAAACAAAACATGGTAAGCTGCAAAAGATCATGTATCTACTTCATTGTGCATAGGAAGTGTTTACAGGTAAAATTAAAATCAAAAACTGAAAAAAAACTCTTCATTTTGGCTCTTCTTTCTGAATTTTTTCAGTTTCCTGTCTCTACCCACCATCCTTTGAATGATACCATATCTGTATTGGACCAAATGTATTTATTGGTTGCATTTTGTTTATTGGATGACTTTAAATGTATTTATTATCATTGTTTCCTTTAATTTAATGTTGGATATATTTGTATCATTACAGGAATCTGATAATAATGGGTAAATTTAGATTGATGAGGCTTAGGGATCGGGGATGCTCCAGGATTCAACATTTCTTCCAATTGTTCATGGTTTGTTCTAAATTAGGACAGATTAAGAACTAATAAACATGATTACATTTGAACTAGACTCAATAAAAATATTCTGATCTCCTTTATGAATATTTAGGAATATTCTTTGTGACTAATGTAAGTAGTTTGGATCAAAACATAAAAAGAAGACCTATGGTTTATGCTACTTCTGGTTATTTGTAGTTCACAGTAAAACATGCACACACATACACACAAACATTTTCATCAATTTCAAATTTGAATTGTGAAATATTTGAGAAAATAAAAACATAATTTATACATTTGAGCAAATTGAGCAATCACATTTATTGCATCTATTTCCATTTTTCCCTTTTTTCATTCATTGAAACTGGGTTTTCTAAATAATATTAGACACTAACACTCTTAACAGATTTATTCACAAATGACACAAGTACACATTTTAAGACTTCTTTGTATTTCTTGCAATTATAACCAATCACTAGTCATGAAATATACCTACATAAACCAAGTGCTACACTTTCAGTGAGGAAGCATGTAAGGAAGGTATGTTGACTGTTTTTAAGTTTCAGAAAAGATATTTTCATAGGATTGAGTATCATGGGTATAGTTTGATCTTGACATATACTTTGAAAATCATACTCAGAAGATTTGCATTCATGAAACCAATGAACAATAGGGTGGAATGGATGAACCAGCTCCTTGGAAGACAGGGCCCAATTTTCAATTTTTTCTTTGGCTATCAAGTTGCTAGTCACTTATTCAGGATTTTCATCCAAACTGTGTTTGGACTGACTGTATAAGTCTTACTGCCTTTTCAGAAATCTGCTTTCCTTTGTGTGATTTTTCTCGTACTGTATAGCACGGTTTATGCACCTCTCTTTAGATGGTGTACTTTAAAACAAAGTAAAATTTAGAAAATGGTTTTAACACTGCATACCTAAAATTAGTAGTGTGCAGCATTGACTGCCTTTGATTTGTAGTAAACAAGTAAAAATGAATACGTTCTTGTAGATGCTGTAAAAGTCATTCAGGAATGAATACGGTTTTAGTGCCGTAATCATGAATCTTTTTATATGAATGCACTGTCTAAAAGTGCTAAATGCATTTTCAAATTTTTAAAAATTCCTCAGATGATATATTTGAAATGTCTAAAATAATGCTGTGCTTGAAACATTAGTGTAAAAGAAAAAAAAAATGTGTGTCACTGTGATGTTGGTCCTCCCCGTGTGGACACAAGTAGAAAGTAAAAACTTGGCAAGTCACTTTTGTGTACAGTTTGAGGCTGAGGCAGTGGTTATATACAATACATTGACCTTTATTAGATCCCCTGACACACACATTCTTGGTGAGAAAATAACAACCATCCACAAATTGAGATCAGAACTTCTGTGATCTGTATGAATCACACCAGATCATGGGGGAGGAGGATTGGCATGCAGTGCTATTGAAAATTGGGCTTGTTGCTAGATCAGAACAACCTCCATGTATATGGTTAGAACAAATCAATTAATGGAATCCTAGTATTTCTGCAAGTTTGGTGATTTTTAAAAACTGGAATAGAAGCATTAATTCAGTGCTTAGTTCTAGTATTAGAAAACCCTTTTGATGTAATGCCTTGTATTAACCCTTTGAGCATTGTAAGATATACAATGGGGGACAAAAGCCTTTCAGATCATTTATTTAGACTTAGACCGGTAAAGTATACTCTATATCCAAATGTCTAATTATGCTGTTTTTTTAAAGGGGGGGGTAGGAAGAGAAAGTGTTTCCACGCCGAACACTTGCATTTTATATACAACTCTTAATTTTTCTTCAAGAGGGCTTGATATATTTATTCCCAAATATTCACTGCCATCTAAGTAAGTGTACTGTTTACAGAAAAAAAAAAATCAACTTTTCTAGCATCACACCATAGTTTCTAGAAAAGGAGGACAAATACATGGGCCTGGATAGACCTATGTCATAACTGATTTCTGCACATTGAAGGTACCTAGATTGCCTTTAAAAGGTATAAGGAAAGGGTTAAGTTTCTTTTTTTTTTTTTTTTCTTTTTTTCCCAAAATGAAACAAAAGATCTCATTTATTTAGCTTTAGAAAGTACAAGTGTAAGTGAAGCCTTAGGAAGAAACGAGTTCGAGTGGATTAAGAGAATCTGAACTCTTTGGGGGCAGTTAGGCTATTTGGAGTTAGATCGCTCATAAAATATTGTTTGGGAATTTCACACAGGGCATAATTTTATCTATGCTCCAAAACTTTAATACTTTGTCAAAAAATTATATATAGATAGAATGGAGAGCAAAGCACTTGATTTTAAGCTCATCTGTCAGGAGATGCTATGACTACTGCTTCTGATATCTCTAAATGTCAGTCTGCTTACACCATTGCTGATTTTGTTCAAGGGACTCGCTTCGTGCACTTGATTCCCTCTGTTCCCTGCGTGATCGAACATGAAAGCAGTGTTGTCTGCAGATGTGCTTGCGCTGCCCTAGCCGGGCGCAAATAAGAGTGTAACCTATTCTGATGTCTGGTGAAAGGACATCCATAGCATAGTGCAAGTATGCCGTAAACATTGCTTTTTAGGCAGTTTAGGAAGTCAAACCATGCAAATTACTCATGTGTTAACATGCAATACTCAAAGGGTTTTAATTTAACTCTCTTCTTTTGAATTCTTCATGATGATTTACTGTAAATGCTTCTCAGTTTGCATGCCTTGATCATTGCTGCTAGTGATTTTATGTGCCAGTAGACCTGAGTTTAGTTTACCAATTTTACTTAAATAGTAAAAGCCACTTACAAAGTGACTGCCTAGGATTTTTTTTTTCCTTTCATTTGAAATAATTGATAATACTTTTTTTAAAAAGAAAAATGTGTTTTGTCTCTTCTTTTATTTTGTTCTATTTTATTTTTCTCCCCTCTTTCCTTTGTTTCTTTAAATAAATTATGATGTTGGGATTGGAAGCCCTGAGTAATGAAAATCTTTGGTAAGAATTGTTTATGTAGCTCAATAATGAGGACAACAAATCTTTTTTAGAAGAATTTTGATTCTGGGGAGGAAAGAAAATATAAAAACTCCCATTGACTGTTGATAACCAAGTAAATTTTTCCTTCAATAAATTAGTGTTTTTGAAGAAATGATCGCCTTGTTTTAACCTGCTAAACAACAATTTTAAATGACCCAATAAAGAAGCTATTGAATTTTATTCGTTTAAAAAGCATCTTTTGTACCAAAGCAAATTTTTTTCTCTACTCATTTCTATCATCAATTTGGACCTATGGTGGTGACCAATGCATTGGTTACAGAAACTTTAAGTGAGTGCCTTGAAAAAACTTGGAAATTTGTGCCTGAGGTGGTAAACTTTTAATTAGGTTAATTGTAGTGCTTACCAATCAGTAACTTCACTATCACTCAGGGCTTTCGTACCTTCTAGGTAAAACTTCTTTCATTGTGTTTTTTTAAGATAACTGTATTTTTTTTAAGTGCCATCATTTAAATTTCACTTAGTAAGTGGCCGATTACATTATTCAGTCCCACAAGCACAGAAACATAGTAACACTAGGAGATATTTGAACATTTATTTTACAATCGACTGAATATATTATGTAAATGAGGTAAGCAACTTTTGTAGAGATTGTATGTGTGAGATAATGTAATGTTCTTTTCCAGTTTTTGGACTACAGTTGAATAAACTTTTTAATTATTTAAAAACATCTTTACCGAATAACATGTGATGGTTTTTTGTATAATGTATTTGATTTTGTAAATACGTATTTCCTGATGTGATTTTTGTGAGAAATGCTAAATCTTTTAGTATATCATGTCCTCTCAAAATTGGCAGGAGCTAAATAATAGTTTGTGGGCGATTTGTATTGTGTACTGTACAATAACTGGGGAACTTTTATAATTATAAAAATATATATTAACTTTTAGTGTGTTGTTTAAACAAATGACTGGAACATACTAAAGATATTAGTAGGATTTTTCTGAATATTTCAGACTTGAACTCAGGCTAGCTTTCTTGTGTTTTTCAAAACAAAATGGTGTCTTGTCTTTTAAAATCAATAAATTTGTTTCCTTGTTACAAATACATTGGAAATGGCTTGGGTTTTTTTCCCCTCAAATCACTGCCTGGAAGCTAATAATACAGTACCTCATCTGGAGGGTAGTATCTGTCATTCATTAACTTAGAAACAAAATTAAGTTGTTTTCCTTTTTTGTGTCAAATAAAATTGGCAATATTTACACATGAACAGCACAAAAAGAGAAAATTATAAGCCCAGCAGGGTACAAATCTTACCCTCAAAGAAAATTAATGATTGAGTGCTATATAATTTCAGAAGCTGTCACATTTCCATTGTAAATCCAGATTTTTGGATGTGCATAGTGTGTTTGTTTTATGTCACTTCACAGATATTTGGCACTCAAGTTCCTTTCTTACATTCAACTTGCTTATTAAAATTTAACGCACTTAAGAAGATATGCTGCCAGTGTTTTTCCATAGAATACCTACAGGAAAATTCACTTTTTGGTGTACAATTCTATGAGTATTGACAGACACATACAATCATGTAGCCACCACCCTAATCAAGTTTAAAATGATTTATGTCACATTTAATTTACTTTCAAATCACTATATATATATATATATAGCCTCCTGTTAGAATATGGAATAGCCCATTTATATGGGGTTTCTTTAAAAGAAATACAAGGCAAAAAATATACTTTTTGGAATCTCCAGCATGATACTTCCAGATCGTAGTCTAAAGTTATCTCTAAAACTACACTATTGCTGGGTGCAGTGGCTCATGCCTGTAATCCCAGCACTTTGGGAGGCCAAGACGGACGGATCACGAGGTCAGGAGTTCGAGAACAGCCTGGCCAATATGGTGAAACCCCGTCCTACTGAAAATACAAAAATTACCCAGGCGTGGTGGCACACACCCATAGTCCCAGCTACTTGGGAGACTGAGGCAGAAGAATCGCTTGAACCCGGGAGGTGGAGATTGCAGTGAGCCGAGATCGTGCCACTGCACTCCAGCCTGGTCAACAGAGCAAGACTCCGTCTAAAAAACAAACAAATAAAAACAGCTACACTATTGGCATCATAGCCCACAGAAACACCAAATTCATTTTAACTTACATTGGTATTTAAACTAGTAGCTTAGAAACGTATCCAAATAATGTTATTTAATAAACAAATGAAAGAACCATAGGCAAAATTATAGCTAATAGTAGAGACAATACTAGAGTAGAAAGAAAAGTAATCTGACCAGTTTAGGCATTTTTATGTTGCAGCCGTTGCCACTTGTGAGATATTTGGAATTTTCATACAAAATGAAGAGTTCCCAGTTTCTAATCTTATTTTCATACTTGATTTCCCTTGGAAATTTTAGGTCTTTCAAATCTCTTATAATTAGTGCATTACTTGGCTATAATACTAGTCCTGCCATGAGTTTTTAATATTATTTTCTTCTGCTTTGGAACTCAGACATTTCAAAACTTGAACTCAGCCTACTACCAGAGAAATGTAACTTGTTTTTATTTACCCATTCAATTCGATCACCAAATATGTTTTCATTTTGGTCTAAAGGTAATGTAGTTTCTCTCTGTTGCTCACTCTCTCTCTCTCTCTCTCTTTCTCTCTTTTTGAAAATACAAATAAAAGATAATGAAGTTTCTTGAGACTATGGAGTTCACATAGCTAGTCTCTCATGATCAATAATCACAACCTCGAAGGAGACAAACATTCATGTGAATGTGGAGCAACCTCTAAAACTGAGGTTTTAACTTGTATAACACTTGAATGTTTTGCAGTTTGTGTGTATGCCCATATTTCTGCGAAGAAGTTTCATAGTTTTCATCACATTTTCAAAGGTATGTGCAACCCAAAACTCACTGTTTAGAATGCTACCACTAAATTTCAAACATATAAAATGACAAGTCTAGAAATAGCATATTAATAATTACTAATAGCATGTTGATTCGTTATTATCAACAGTAAATAACAAACCCCAAGCCTTTGCATAATCTTAAAAGATTATGCTCTCTTGGGTTCAAAAAGTTATAGTGAAGCCTTCAAACTCAAACCATTTACTCTCGATTTTGTACTCAGGTTGCAATGCAATAGAAACAATGACAAAGTCAAAATGGCATAATTCAGTTGGAGCTTCTGAAGAATTAACTGATTTTAAAGATATTGGTGATAATTCTTATCTAGAACTGTATCCACTCACAACAAGAATTATATGGCACACTCCCACAGGAACTGAGGAAAGCTTAATGGAGTATTTGCAATGATGTGTTAATGGTTAATTTTTTTGTCTTTAATGATAAAATGTTTATATAAGATAATTCTGTTCATATAGAAAATAGATACAAGTTGGGTAAATAAGTACTAAGACAGTTGCTATAGTTCCCGCTTCCCTAGTTGGTCATTAGGCCTCAGTTGATGACCACATCTTACTAATTCCTCTCCTCATTGCACATTCTTACTCTGCTAGGGCCTGCTTGGTAGGTTGCTGAAAGGGTGACTCAACCCTTCATTCCTTGCAGTCTTGTTTATTGGGTTATCACAGTTTTCCATTGACTATGAAGCTGAGATACTGAGAGGACAAGTAGCAGGATAGTCCTCCTGACTCCAATTATGAAGCAATAATCCAACTTCCTTTTTATAACTGTGGTTAACTACCTGAATCACTAGAGCAACTGCCTTCCTTACCTGTTGGTTCAGAACCATGAGGAACCCAAACTGGCCAAGGGATAGTCTTAGGACTGACTGTCTCGGCTTCCAGTTTAATAAAATCATGACTTGGTTCCCAAGTGGAAGCAGTCCTGCCTTGAATATTTGGGCCTCCAAAGTCACTAAGCTCAATGTTTGAGGCCTGAAAAGCAAAAATCTTGTAAATGGCTTGTTTGGTGTAAAAAGGGGCTACTCCCAACTAGATTCCTTGATTCCAGGAACCATGTATTCTAACTGTGAAAGAAATGGTGCTAAATATTGATGGCTATTTATTGTCTCCCAGCTGACATCATGGCTGAGCCTTTAGCAGGCTGTTCTATTTCTTGTTCTATGGAGTGAGCTGTTTCCGTGTGATGAAATGCATGAGACTTCTGAATTCTGTGGTGAAAGCCCACATCCCTTCACCATATAATTAGTTCTATAATCAGTAGAGGATTGTGTAGGATATCATATTCATGAATAAAATAACTATAAATGGAAGAGTGATGGAAAAGGCAAATCTACATCTGGAATATTTCTCTATTCCTTTAAGAGAGTTGCTTTTCCCTCTTTGATGAAAAAGATCCTATGTAATAAACCTGCCACTTGGTCGCCCTGGGGAATAGGGCCACTTCAGGAGGCTTAGCGTTGACTTCTGTTATGGGCAGGTTGGCACTCTGCAGCTCAGCAGTAGTAATGGCCTTGGTGAGGGGAAGTCTGTGTTGCTGAGTTGCCGAGACCCTGCAGAGTGTCATCCATTCTGCTATTTGAGTTTCCACGTTCATGGGGGATTTCCATCTTAGTCTTAAAGTAATTAACATTCTCCTGACTTAGAGATAAATAAGATAATCACATAGGGGGAAATGTTCAGGACTGGAAGTCAGAAGCCTGAACTGTCTGTCTTATTACAAGTCTGCAACTTACTAGATTTCTATTCTTGAGAAATTCACTTAACTCTACAAATCTGAGTATATTTAGAAGGAAGATGAGATCTCTTCCCTAAGCAGTGACTGGAAAGATTGGTATATGTATGCTGGTTAAGAGATAGTCTTAGAAGTCAGGTAAACCTGGGCTTGAATCCCAACCCCACAACTAACTAACTATGTGACCTCACTGGGTAGATTGAGGAATACACATTTATAAGACTGTGTAATATTTGCTAAATGCTTAGCAGGTGCTCACACGTAGCAAGCCCTCAATAAAAGGTAACTATTGCAGGTAACCTGCTTTAACTACCCTCTAAAATAAAAAGTGTGAGAACTTCATTAGCTGCCAGTCAGTAATCTTATAAAATGGGCTTATCCTATTATTTCCAGAAATTGCTCTAGAGTGGAGTTTGGTTGACTCAACTAGGATATTATTTAACTGTGATTAAGCTTTGCCAATAAAGTGCATTCTTGATTTAAACAAAGAAAAAGGAAAACGGGGGAAAAAAAAAAAAACGGTATATCCAGAAGTCTAGACTTCAGACAAAAGAGAATTTACTTTCTAATTCAATCAATTCAGGCTTCCCAGGAGGTAAAAATATTTCTTCTGGATGTTTAGACGCTTCTGAGCTTTTCTTTCTTGCATGCATTCAAAAAACAACCATTGAATCTCCCAGAGTTTCTTTTAAGTATTCCAGACAACTTAACAACAGTTTGGGGATAGACTGTCCCCATTTCTCTCTGTAAATTTTTTTTTATAGTCAGCTCATCTGCCTTTTAAGCTTGTCTTGTTTTTAGTGGACATAGTAGCTGGACAGACTTTCTCCCACCTCTGAATCTTTTTTTTTTTTTTTTTTTTTTCTTGAGACAAGAGTCCCACTCAGTTGCCCAGGCTGGAGTGCAGTGGCACAATCTTGGCTCACTGTAACCTTTGCCTCCCGGGCTTAAGCCATTCTCCTGCCTCAGCCTCCAAAGTAGCTGGGATTACAGGCGCCCGCCACCATGGCCAGCTAATTTTTGTATTTTTAGTAGAGAAGAGGTTTCATCATGTTGGCCAGGCTGGTCTCGAACTCCTGACCTCAGGCGATCTGCCCGCCTCAGCCTCCCAATGTGCTGGGATTACAGGTGTGAGCCACCATGCCTGGCCCCACCTCAAATCTTATAGCACTTATCATCTATATCAGAGGCTGTGCATTAGCAGGCTATGGATCACAGGAAGGTGATGTTCAGCTTACATAGTGTTAGGCTACAAAGGGCTTTTGTGGTTTTATGTGTGTGTGTGTGTGTGTATTTGTTTTATTTTAATTTACTGTCAGAAATTTGAAAATACCAGAAGATCTCACAGTAATTCTGTCAAAGTAAAATCTAGTTTGTGGTTTCTCTTGAGCATGGGAGGATCAGGCAACACTGAGCCTCCATGCCCCCATGGCAGTCTTCTGGGAC